TTGCTGCTTCTGTCCGCTTCAACAAAAGCTTCGCAATCATTCATTTCGGTGAGATCAATGGATCGATACGATATATATAACTCTGCCTTCCAAATGCAATGCGACAAAAGGGAAGAAGACACAGACAGAGATACCGGCGGAGGCGGGAGCGGGGGGCGCACCAAGCTTGGGGTCCTCTGAAGCTGTGGCTGAGGCTGAGAGAGGGAGAGAAACGCTGATGAACTGTTTTCAAAATTCTACCGCAAAAGTCCAATTTGGGCAACGACAAAACAATAAATATCATTTATTTTCAAGTCGTACGTTTTTTTTTGCGTTCATTAAAATTGTCGCGAATTGTTTTCAACGCATGAATATGTTAATGAATTATTGTCTACAGAGATATACACATATATATGTATTTGTATTGTCATCCTGGGTGGAAGGGTCACGGCATGGGGCCACAACTACTAACCGGAATCGCACAAAGGGTACGGCTCAAGATACGGCTAAAGGGTGCGGGGGTACAGCATTGCAAAAAGTGTGAGAAGACCATTGTTTTAGCAACGTGTCTTTCTTGTCCTCCGGCTATCAAGGCAAAAAAGGGCCTTAAGCATACATTAAATATATATATATATACACATATATATACACTGCCGAAATAAGCTGTGAGACACTGTATACACAAAGCTGCGCTCAAAATAATAGCTCTGAACACACGTGTTATGCAAAATGTTAAAAAAATAAATACTTTACTAGTTTAAAAAAAATGCAAAAATCAATAGTGAAGATAAGTAAACATTAAAAGAATACACAGCTATAATATTATTAACAAAAACAATTAAAATCCCTAAATTTAATTTATTTTTTAGTGGCTGGTACTAAAAACTAGATATGATGTGTGGATGTATTTTACTACGTTTAGTATTTGGAAAATAATGGTACTTTAAATCAATCCCCGTTTAGAAACCAAACATTTGTAGCTTGGCAGCTTTACATTTTTCTTCATTTTGAAGATTTTGAAGGGTTGTCGATTTTACCACCATAAAATAAGACATATTTTTATTAACTGCTTCTCGAAGTAGTTTAGTAAATAGCTATAATTTTGCCGACAAGTAAATTTCGAAACTTGAGGTTTGTGGATATCTAAGAACTAGAACTTTATGAACATAGAAATGTTTTCAAAATATCAGCATTTTTCAAGTGTGCACTTATCATTTTGAAAATTATTAATAAATAAATGATTTTTATAAACTGCATACTTTTCAGTTTTTTCGGTACTTCTTGGCACTCTTTCCTTCAAATGAAAAACAATATATATGTATACATATATTGAGTATATTAAATATACGTTTGCCAGCGCATTATTTTATTATATATTGTCATTTTATTTTTATTTGAAAATAATTATTTCAATCGTTTGTAAATTACACATTTTCTACACAATTGTCATTTATTTATTTATAAAATCATTTCTTTTAAGTAGTTGCATTTTAAAAATTTGTATATATACATAAAAGGCCGTGTCCTTATTACGAATTTTATTTCTACAAAATATTCAACCAAACCCAATAGCAGGCCAATATTTTTACGCTTAATTTTTTATAAATAAAATAAATTTTTTAACAACACATACATACATATATGAATCACAAATGCTATCGATATAATGTGTATAATTAGGTTTAACTACGTATATATATTTGAATATATATATATTTGAATATATATATATTTGAATATATATATATATATATATATATATATATATGTATATATATATATGATATGATATATTTAAATACCCAAAAATTTGTATTTGCCTTTGAATTCTGAATTAGTTCGACTGAACTACTAAATTGAATCCAATCGTTTGAGTCCGATTCGCTTAGTTCTTTTTTTTATCCTTTGATCGATATCCTTCCCAGAAGATAATAAAAAGAGCAAATGCATTTCTTGCAAGTCTCTAAAAAACAATTATGTAATTAATATACTATACCATATTAAATAATCGAATTGAAGCACACCAGAAATGTCATCGTAATTAATATGTGAATTTGACGAACAGTAATCGGATTTAAGCGAACATCGGACGCCTGATTTTAATGATCAGTGGACTTTAATGAATGTTAATCGGATTAATCGACCAATAATCGGACTTAAACGATCGAACGAATGAACTAAATACGTCATTCGTTCGCTCACACCTGAACTACTTCTTTAGAATGAACTTTAAAGTGCCGCTTGGCCAATTATACGTCAATGCAAAAAATTTGCAACTGTAATTAGCATAGTCAAAAATAATATATATATATATAATATAATATTTATCATGAAGAAGTCAAAAATGTGCAGATGTAATCGAGCTCGCTGCAATTAAAGATCGATTACAATGTAATTAACATTGGCTTAAAATCAACTAACAGATTAAAGAAGCTGCTTGCTACATAAACTAATTTTAACATACAATTTTAACATAGCCTTCTCATAATCATCTGTAAAACCAATTAATAAGCAAAATACTTTCAAAACAAAAACTATAAGGTTTATATGTTTCGTTCTATTAAAAATAATAAAACCACATGAGGAATATCAAAACAACAAATATTGAACAGAAATTTATAGTTTTTTTTAGCCGTTTTACTCGTACATATTTGAACTCATTCATGGTAATCCAAATACAACTAAAAAATAGATAAGCAATATTTGTATGAGCGGATACATACATATCTTAATTCATGTCTTAACTCATTAAAAGCCAAGGCTTTATAAATTGAATGAACATTTCTTCTTGGCAATATAGCTGGCTAAAAAGGGTCGATTTGTTGCAGACCAGTAGGTACAATGGCCGTGAATTGGCTAAAATAAGTTAATTCATAATGTGCAGTATGTTAACAGATACCACACATAAGAAAAAAGCATGTGTTGGGACTGATTTTTTGAGTTGCAACTTTATTTTTTAAATTGTAAAAATATTTTCATTTACCCTAAAACTTATTTTCGTTTTTTTTTAATTACATTTAAACATTTTATATATTTTAATACAATTTTTCTGTTTAGAATTTAGTTTACAATTCCTTTTAATTTTATTTTTGGACTGCAAAAAACGAATCGACCTGACTGATTTTCAAGAATTAGGTGTATGTGAGTATGTACAGTGTATATATATGTGTATATAGAATCTCTGTTAATGGCCAGTTCTGTCTTTGTTACCAACACCAACAAGTAATTCATCATTTATTTATGCATGATTCATGTACATATGTGTGTGTTTTGTAATACAATAAATGAGACTCAGGCTGCTCCGGTTGCTTAGGACATAGACTACACACAATACACACAAACAATGCAAGCACACACATACATCCATGCATTCACAATCGCCCTCTATTTGCAATGAATGGCCAGATTGAATTTACACACACACACGCTCATACAGACGCTCATCCATCGTTCCTGTCCTTATGCTTGGGATTTAAGACGCTGCAACAGAAAACAAAACAAAACAGAAAAAACACAAAAATAAAAACAGCAAAGGGCGATTCACATTTGAATCCATAAATTCATAAGCGAGCAAGAAGACAATGAGAAGGAGGACAAGGAGTAGTGAAAAAAGACAACTAGGAAGAGTAGAGTGAAAAGTAATAATAAAACGAATTAATTCACTGTAAATATATATATGTGTGTGTGTGTGTGTGTGTGTGAGTTGTGCAGCAGAAAGGACAAAAACAAAGACAAGCTATAATAAGAAAGGAAATACATTTCTTTGCCGTATTGTGTATAATATTAAAGGAATTGTTTTCGTTTGCCTCCTTTTTCTCAGAAACGGGTGCTACACACACACACACACACACACACGTACATACACACACACACACATACAATGTTAATACAATGCGATGACTGTGTAAGGGGGAACTGAAAGCGAAACAAGATGACAGACGGAAAGAAACAGACAGCAAGAGCTGCCAGATTGTTGGCAGAGCACCAAAGCGAGTAATGCGTTTTTATTCCGGCAACTACAACTACAACAAGATGGCAACAATGACAACAATAGGCTCGGTTCGTAGCGCAGCGAGTTTCCAGTTATAAACAGAACCACTACAAGCAAGCTTATGTGCGTGTGCGTGTGTATATGTGTGTTTGTTATGTGTAGATATGCTTGTGCATAATCCGCAAGCAGATGTTAGAGCTGCATTTTGGTTTAGTTTATTAATCGGTTGCTCACTGAGTTTTCAATATTATTTTTCGCTACTCTTGGCAACACTAGTAAAAGTGTTGTGTGGAGATAACCTTTTGTTAAGCAGCTGGTGAATATATTTTTATATATTTTATTTTTGAGGATATTTATTTAACTCATTTAGATCATTATTTTATTTATTTATATATTTATTGCTTATATATTTATTTTCTTTATTTATTTAATGGCGACTAATATAAAACTTAAATTAATAAAACTTTAATTTCTGGGCCACAAAAAACCCAATCAGACTAAAAAAAATAGAATAATTTAGTTAAGATCGTGCAAAAAAGTAAAATACGAGATAATGATAAAAATAAATGAATCTGAATCGATTAGATAACAAAAATGGATTATAATACTTACAATTGTTAGAGTATGGCTTTAAAGTTATAATATTATCTTGCTTTGCGTATGAACGTTCTCGTAAACGAGAACTCATATTCCAAATTTTAAGTATCCAGCTTTTCAAGTTCCTTAGATCGGCGTAATAATACAGACTGATCAACTCGACTGAATATATATACCTATTCTACCTGTTATACATTTTTGCATAATTTTATTACCAATTTTTAATGGGTTCAGTGTAAAAATATGCAGATCACATATAACTTCAAATAATTACGTGCTCAAAATACAAAATGCCAATCTTTTAATTATCAATGCCAAGCATTCTGATCTGATTTCAAGAATCAAGTATTCAGTATTTACGTACAGTATGTAGATTGATCAAAGAATGAATAGATATATAGCTATTATGGTTACATATATAAATCGAACTTACCGATTGAAAATGGTGATGCATTCACCCCATCACAACATTGTGTGCGCTAAAGAAAGCGAGAAATGAAACTATTAGAATAATGTAAAATATATGCATTTATTTTTGTTGAAAATTGTGTTAATTTATGAATTTAGAATATTCTCATTAAAATTTTGACTAGATGAGTTCGAGTAGTTGGTTTTTCGAGTAGTGAGTGCTGAGTTTGATTAGTTAGATTACTCAAACTCCCTAGTCTAATATTATTGTATATATTGTATTGTTTATAAATATCTGTTTAGTCTTATTTTTCATTATATAATTATAAGAAAGATTAAAGTCACCTTCTGATTTAATGGGTCAAAATGTATCAAAACAAAAGTGAAAGCGTTCTAGTCAAGCGTAATCGATAACATCGATAAATTCAAACTGGTAGCGGCTTTATATTTGAAACAATTTGAACACCAGTATGAGCAACTGTATTTAATGTATACATAATTAAATACACCAAAAATAAAAAATTAAAATGAATTTTAAATTTAAATTGAAAAATTCAAATACATATATATATTATAAAATATAAACAAATAAAAATTAAATTAATAATAAATCAAACTTCTGGGATTAAAAATATGCAGAAATCTTTTCAAAAAACATGCTAACCAAATTTGCCAATTTTAAGTACTTTTTGATGTTACCAACAATAATGAAAATATCTTTTATGTGGTAGATAGATTTAATTATAATGCTGTATAATACATAATGCAAAAATGTAACATATAATTTATGTCAAAGTTATTAAACAATAGACTAAAGAATATAGATCAGTAAGCACTCGTATCAGCACTTAAGTCGTGTTTCAGATTGAAAAAAGTTATCGATAATGAAAAGTTCCGCATTAAAAAAAAAGTGAAAATTTCTCCTTTTTTTGAGACGGTAAAACTAATTTCTAAACTGGATTTTGTGAAAACTAAGCTGTTCAAAATTGTCAAAATAATGAATTAAATATATTTTGATAGTAGATATCGACAAATCGAAATGTATACAGTAAATTTTGAAAGAAAAATAGTTTAAATTAAACGAAACGAAACGAAATATATTCTATATTTTTTCTGATCTGTAGAAAGCTTTAAATGTTTTTATATGCCCAATACACAACAGGATCAATCGATAAACCTGCACGAATACATTTATCTAATTAAAAATAAGCACGCTCCCTGAAGACGTTTTTTTTTGTTTTCTTTTTTTAATTTTTTTTCTGTAACCCTTTGCGCTGCTTGTGTGTTGGTTGCTTCAGAAAATAATTGAATATAATAACACATAATTAGAAACGAAGTTCTTAGCTTGCGGTTATACGTTGACCATATGGAATTTGGACATTTGGGCAAAGGTGTATAATAGCGTTGTGGCTAAGAACCTAAAAACCGAAAAAGCTAAAAAGGCCGAACTTTGCTCCACGCCGAACTGGAGTCCGGAGTCAGTCCGTGATTCAAGCCAAGCCGTGCGAAGCTTTAATCACATGTCTGAGTTTGGAGTTTCTGACTCAAATTTTGCTGTCTGCCCCGTTATCTGCCTAATTGCCATCAAATTAGAACCAGCTGGCTCTTAAAATTCGCTAATTTTCAACTCTTCACTGGTTCGAAACTCTTCTCTTTTTTATAAAACTCTTTTAGTTTTTTTTTGTCGTGTCTGTTCAAACCCGTCTGTTAATTTGTTGCTGTTTTATGTAAACACCTCAGTCAAAATGGAAATGACAATAGACTTTGCCTATCAATTAATAACATTTTAAGATCACAATATGTACCTAATGGATAAAATTCATATATTTAATGGTATTTGTTTTCAGATCGAATTTAAATTTCGCTCTCTGAGAAAAAGAGCATCGCTGATAGCTGAGCATGAACTGGTTGGATTTATCAACATATCGATATACACATGGTTTACATAAATGAGCACTAATATAACAGATTTTATGTAAAGCATCGAAAAATTGGCAAAATGTAAAGAAAGGAGACAAACAGACTAGTGAAATATATAAATAATAATGATCATATACTGCAGTCACTGCAATTTTTAAATTTAGTATTCTTATATATTGTATAAACTAATAAAATGCAGTTGACACTTTTTCCGTTTCTTCCCACTTGGGAGTTCCATTACGTTATGTTAAGTTAAGCTATGTTACGTTAAATACGTTCCTTTTGGCTTTAGTCAAAAGATCACGTTTCGTTAATCTATGTAATGTAGCTGTTATTATTAAAATAAGTAAATATTATATTATTTTTTTTAATGTGTCGATGGCCATTCGCTTTTTATTTCTTGTAATTTTATATTTCCTCATATGTCATTTAATAGCGTATACTAGTTTTAACACTCCCGCCATAAAGTGTGTCTTTTAACGGTTATGCAATTTGTGTAGTGAAATATATACAATGTAAGAGTGCTGCAGTCGAGTGAGCTCGACTATGGTATACCCTGAACCCAGTTGTTAAATATATTCTAGTTGAATTTGAAAGTGTCCCTTTCAAAGTTTTGCACCAAAATGTGAGCAGGTCTGCAAGTGCGCTCTGCGAAATATACGATAATCGATAATCGAAAAATGGAGGCAGGTATTGCTAAAATAAAGCAAACTTGATCTGCGCCTGGTATACGAAAACCTATATTCCAAATTTGAAGTCTCTAGCTCTTGTAGTCTCTGAGATCTGCGTGTTCATACAGACGGACGGACTGACATACATGACTATATCGACTCGGCTGTTGACCCTGAACAAGAATATATATACTTTATGTGGTCGGAGATGCTTCTTTCTGCCTGTTACATACATTTGCACAAAACCTCTCTCTCGCTCGCTTTTTTTTTCCTCGCATAGTGGAGTGTACAATTTGTAGTCCAGTGTACATTGGAAACCCCTTGCGTCGGTGCCTCGCTGGCTCCATTCCATTGTCGTTTATACGTTTATTTAACCCTTCTCAGCCACGCTTTTTTTTCTGTTTGTTTTTTTGTTGAGGGGCAATTAAATATTACGTTCACGTACGTGTCTCTATTTATACAAACATCCATACACACACACACATGCACACTTGTAGTCTGAAATAATTTGCGACCAAGTAAAAACAACATATGTACAACTGCGCTCAAAATAATAGTGCAGACATATATTTTAGCATATTTAAATTCTGAAGATAAGTAGCTGTAAAATTTATTGACAAAAAATATATTATTGCATGCATATTATTGATCAACTACCTAAGTTTAAACAAGATCGGATCGTGTACGTTACGATTGTGCGTATATATGTATGTATGTATGAATATTCACGTGTTTGTCGGCAGAGCGCACTTGCAGACCTGCTCACTTTTTGGTGCAACATTTTTAACAACTGGGTTCAGGGTAAATCATAGTCGACCTCATTCGATTGCAGCACTCTTACTAGTTTGTTCTTGCAGAATTAAATTTTTATTCATTGTGAAGAGTTCTCGATTTTCAGCAGTTAAATTTTTATTTGACGAGGCATATTTTAATTAAATTCTTTTAAATAATCAAATAAATTACTATTGTGTATTATATAAAATTATTATTAATTATACTAAAAATATTATTACCTTTATATAAAATTATATAAAAAAAAAATGATTGTGGCTGCTGAGAGAAATAAGATCAATATGAGAATATATTTTCAACCATAACTTGGGTCTTTCTTGATTAAATTTGAGCAGTTGATCAATAATATACATATGCATATTATATATTAATTAGAAGGTTCTGCCTTTAAATTTTTAGCACATATTGCTATCGGAAATTTAAATGTATCGATAATCGCAAATTGAGGCAGTTATCGATTAAATAAAGCAAACTTAATCTGCGCCTGGTATACGAGAACACATATTCCAAATTTAAAGTATCTAGCTCTTATAGTCTCTGAGATCTGCGTGTTCATACAAACAGACGGACGGACGGACGGACGGAAATATTTTGATACCATAAGTTATTTCCGCGGATAACAAGTACAAAAGAAGTACTGTCCAAGTTTGACTTTCATATTGAGGTAGATATAAGCTAATACTGTTCCTTCGAAATTTGGTAACCGTAGCTCTTAAAATACGAAGATGCGGGATTTTGGAAATTTCAGGGTGCGGGAGTGAGCGTGGCCGGAAAAATTATTTTAAAAAATTTTTCCCGGATTTTTGAAGTATGTTACCATATATATTGAAGTGTGTCTATATATCTTTCAGATTTTGTGACTCTAGCTTTCAATTTGTGGGAGATACAGTGAGGCAGAGGAGCCAGTGAGTGAGGGCGTGGCCATCCAATTTTTTATCGATCTCTTTGGCGATTTACCAGTAACATACTTTTAAAATTTAGGGACTCTAGCTTAGAAGTTGTGGAAGATATGCGCATTTCAGATTTCTATGACCGAAGTTCCTGGGGCCGGCGGGTGTGCGCATGGTAAAAATGTATATGCCACTCCTTGGAGGGAGCTACCAGCAAGTTACGTTCCAAGTTTAGTCACTGTATCTTTAAAATTTTAGGAGATATGCGGGTTTATCGATTTACACCCTCCGAAATATCGGCTTTGGCGATTATAGGCGCAGGCGTAGGCGTGGCCATAAACATTTATTATCAGTTCTTCAAGGCGGCTTCCAGTATTATAAATACAAAGTTTGACGGCTCTAACTTAAAAACTGAGGAAGATATATTCATTTAAAATTTGTAGGGGCGAGGGGCGGTGGGAGTTATGTGGCTTTATCGATATCCTATCCCCCTGGTGAACTTAGCACTCCAATTTTTACACGTTGTGGGCACAGACCAGTATGTGATCCAAGTTTCAAATCTCTATCTCTAAGGGTGTCGAAAACAGGTACGTTCGTACAGACGGACAGACAGACAGGCAGCATAACGGACGTGGCACATAACCAATATACTATGATACCTTTGTTATAAAAGTATAAAAAAGAAAAAAATTGAAGGGATTTATGCCAAGAGCTATGAAAATATTGAGTATGTGCATTGCGAGAAGCGGGCACTACTATTATTTTTACCGCAACTGTACATATCTATGTATATATTCA